CTACAGGCTTCAAATTAAGCACTAGGAATTCAAGGTCTGAGTTGCAGTGATGCTTTTTAAATTAGCACGTCTCAATCAAATTACTCATACAGAGAATAGCTCTCTCCACAAAAAAACGTGGAATATTTATGCCAGTTACAACTCAGAGGTACTGAATGCTCGATAGACTTCATCGAACTACATGGCATCACACACCATAAATAGCATGTTTGACAAAAAGCTCGTGTGCAGTCACACGGTGTGGTTGCTGCTCTACCTTGTACAGCAGGTGCACTGCTTTCACGTTTGTTAGGTGTCTCAACAGACACGCTTTTACTAAGACTAATGAAATAGATAATATACAAATACAACTGATTCCATTAGGTACTGGTAGTAAAATTTAATTAGTTGCTCTTTGTACACTGCCCTGCAAACAGTAAGAATCTACCTGTTATCACACACTATTAAAAACACAGGGAATTATGTGTAGGCTTGCACTCCTACTTTCAGTTCAAAAGGAAGCATTGATACAAGTACAAGCCAGGTTCAAAATACTAGTAAATAGATAACCTTCCACCTCCAAATCTGGGGTATTCCGGAAGGGACAGAACAGTTCTCAAAAGAGAAATGTTTCTCATCCTGCCTTTTACTCGCCCACTGAGGTCAGGACTCGATTGCGTGCCCAGAGATGCTCTGCACTGAGCACGATACTAGCTACTACTACAAAAGCTGCAACCCTAGACACAACAGGGTGAGGTAAGGACATAGGAAGACTGCCTTTTGTATCAGAACTCCAGTGACTAAAAAGACGATCGTAAGCTTCAAATCTGGGAGTTTTTAAGGCAGACTTTGAAGGTGTTTAAAGGAAAAGAAGGTGGTTTTCTTGTGTTCTATCTGCCGCTCCTCTATTCAGGAGTGCTCTATGGTACTGGGGGCACGCAGGGACAGGGAGGGAACAGAGCAGCACGCAGAGGTTATACAAACTACCAACAAAACCACCCTAAAACGCCTTCTGTGAAAATGAAACAGCAACGTCTCATTTGATAATTTTTCATTGTCACACTTTGGCAGTTTGCAGCTTCATCTACAGGCAATGCTGTAACGAAGACACCAGATAGAATTATTTCTGAATTATTCCTTCTCACAAGACTTTCTGTCCACCTGAAATCATACCCTTAGTAGTAGAATGCTACTACACTACTGCTCAACACCAGACAATGCTCATTGTTAAATGCGATGCCTTTTCCACAATTCACAATTAAACAGCAAGAAATCTTATTTGGACATCTTCCTCCCTGCAAGTACGTTCCCGAAATAAAAGCCCTTGAGCTTCTGCTTACCTGGTGGTAACTGAAAATTCTGAATGTTAGTTGGATTCTGAGGTGGCTGAGGCAAACGAGGTGCTAAAACTGTAGGAGTCAAAGTTGCTCTGATTCCACTCGTAGTTGCTGTTGGAGTCCTTGGCAGAGTTTGTGCCACGGTGTTGGCAGTGCCTTTAGCCATTCCCGTCGGGGTGCCAGGTGCTGCAGGAGGTATCCCACCAGGATTGGGAGCAACATTGGAGAGCCCAGCTTGCATAGTTTGCCCAATAATCATGTTACCCCCTGTAGTACTGGGCTGGCCAGCAGTAGCCAGCGTCTGCTGTTGGGACACTGCCTGGACTATCGTTTTAGGAGACTCAGCTTTGATGACCTGCGTGGCGGGAGCTGCCGGTACAGTGGTACCAGGCTGGCTGTTCACAAGCGACGACGTCTGGAGGGAAACTCCAGATCCCACAGTGGCTGTAGCAACAGCAGGAAAACTCCCCACGCTGATGGTTGAATTGATCACAGTATTGCTCCCATTCTGAGTGGCCGCCCCAGCTGCGGCCACTGTGGGTCCTGCTGTGTGGATCGGTGGCCTCACGAGTGTCACCGTAGGGGCCCCGCTTCCAACGCTCGGTGGCGGCTGCGAGGAGATAACTGTGGGCGAGGAGGAAGATGCGGAGGACACAGCAGTGTTAAGGAAAGAAGTCTGGATGACAGTGTTGGAAGCTGAGGGCAAAACGGCATTAACAGTATTTCCTTTTCCCACAGATCCAGGTCCGTTGTTAACAAGAGGGGCAACAGCAGGTGCAGAAGCGGGGTTGGCAGTCACAGGAGTCCCAGAGAAAGCAGCACTTCCCGCGTGGTGAGAGTTCATCACCACGTTACTCCCATTCAGAGTTTGCACTGTCGTGGTCCCGATCTTGCCATTCCTGGTGGACATGGCAGTCGCCATGGTGCTGATAACCACCGATTTGCCCTGACTGAGGGTCCCTGGAGCAGCAGTGACTTCAGATCCTCCTGCTGCTGCAGTGGTGGTGCTGGTGCTCGTCGTGGTGGCTCCATCCAGAGCTGAAGTCTGGGACCTGGTGTTATGATTAATAACACCCCCTTGCACCGCTCCTGCTCCTGCAAAACAACAACAAGGTTAAACAGAGAGAACGAGCAGGAGGAGAACTCCAGCAAAGGCAGAACGTTCTCCCTCATCACCAAGTCTTTTCCATCTCCGAGGCTACTTGCACGCAACCCAGAGAACGAGATAGAGAATAAACTGAAGATGGATTTAAAGACATTATCCTCAAACCCCCAATTTCCCACCAAAGATTGGTAGCTTCAATACAAGCCATAACACCCTCAACCCTCATCGCTACAGTAAGAGAAAATTGGGAAAAAAAGATTTGATATGATCTGAGGGAAGGAAGAAGGAAGATCATCTCAGCCCTCTTCCCCATTCTAGAGCCTGATACCACATTTATCAACAGGACTGCAACTGCAAGAGGGGCAAATGGCAATAGACGACACGTTAATAAGACATATTCCTTATGCCCAGCACATGTTATCCCCTAATCCTTTCATCTCCTACACAGTCAGTCAGAGCAGGAGGCTCAACACGAGCAAAATATGAAAAACTGAAGGGAAACAAAACCATCAGCCTGCCAAGGTAAGAAGTCCTGTGAGGCCTGGCGCAGGCTGCAAGAAGCCCCCTCCCCCTTATTACAGGATTTGTTCTGCTGGATCTGAAGTTCCCACAGCCAGAGATAGCCACGAAATAAACAAATGAAAAGCAAAGCTGAGTTTAAGAAGGGACAAGATGATGTAGCTTCTTGTCCTGAATAATCCTCACGCCCCCCTGATGAGGCCTGGCGTTACCACAAGTACAATCACAGACAGCCTGGGTCCTGGCCCTACGGAGACAGAAAGGGGAAAAGAACAGTGACAGGCAAACATCGAGATGCACGTTACGAGGGTCGAGGAGATCCTCCTAGAAGAGCTTCATTAATCATGACGGAAGGTCTGTAACATCTTCTTACACTTCAGCAACAAGAAAAGAAGCAAAAAAAAAAAAATAATGGGGGGAGGGGAGGAATTGCAGAGAGATTCTGGGGAGACATTTTTTTTTATTATTATTATTATTATTCCCTGGAAAAACCTCTTCCCTCCATTCCCATGGAGCGAGCCCTCAGCCCCTAGCATCGATCCCACCCCCTGGGATCCGCAGGAGGTGAGGAGGGAGCACACAGACAGGTAGCGGGGTGGGGGGGACGGGGAGGGGGGCAGTGCACCAGGTGGGGTGCCATGGCCTCAATTCCCCCTTGCCGGGGACCCGGCGTTGTGACAACCCCCCCTTGAGGGCAGAGGAGGAACGGGAGGTGGCGGCTGCCCCCTGAAGCCCCCGCAAGGAGGGAGGGAGAAAGGGGGGGGTGTGGGGTGGAATACCCAGGTTGGTAGATATTTTTTTTGGGGGGGGGAGAGCGCGTTTTGAGGGACTTCCTCCCCTCGTAGATCCCCCCCTGGCTTCCTCCCGCGCAGGAAATAGGTGTCATGATTAATAACACCACAACACCCCCTGCGCTCCAGGGAACAGGGCCGGGGGAAGGGAGGGAGCGCTGCCCCAGCCGGCCCTAAGGGGAAGAAGGGGGGGAATCCCCCCAACACCCCCCCCCAGCAGCCCCTAACCCCGGGCAGGGCACGGGGGGCGCCCCACGAGGTGCAGGGGGGTGGCCAGAGCCTCCCTCAGCGCCGGGGTCACCCCAAACCCCTTCATAGGGGAGTATGGGGTGTGTGTGGGGGGCCCTAAAGCCGAGGGGGGAGACATCCTGAGGCGAGGAGAGAGAATAAAGGGGAAGGGGCGCCCCGGGGGGGTGCACGGACACCCTGAGGGGGCACACACAGCCCTGAGGGGACACAGGGACACCCTGAGGGGGGTGAGGGCTTTTCCCCCCACAGCCTCCATCCCCACCTCCCCCCTCAACCTCCCGGCAGGGCGAGGAGGAGGAGGAGGAGAGGGAGGAAGGCAAAAGGGGGGGAGAGCGGGGGAGGGGAGGGCCCCGGCGCCCCCCAGCCCAGCCCAAGCCCAGCCCAAGCCCAGCCCTTGCCCCGGCGGTACCTGCTTTGGCCAGCTCCGGGGCGCTCAGCCCCATCTTGCCGCCGCCGCTCTCGGGCTGGGCGTTCGCGGTGCCTCCTCCCGCTCCTGCTCCTGCTCCGGCGGGGCTGGGGCTGGGGCTGGGGCTGCCGCTGCTCACAACATGGTTCCCCAGCAGCCCCCCAGCGGCCCGCAGGGGCTCCTGCGCCTTGTGGTGTTGGTGGTGGTGGCCGGAGGCCGCCAGCTGGGACTCCAGGGAGCCCACCAGGTCGCTCACCACCTTCTCGTCCACCTCCGTGTTCAGGAAAACCTCATCCAGCAGATCCGAGCCCGCCGCCATCTTTTTTTTGGAGGGTTCCTGTGAGCGGCTCCCTCCTCCCCCCCCCCCTCCCTCCCCCTTCCACTCCTCCCCCCTCCCCCCCCCGCGCACACACACACACACGCTCAGGCCTCTCCCCCCCCCTCCCCTCCGCGCTCCTGCCACGGCGCATGCGCGCGGGCACGGCCTCACCTCAGCGGCCGGAGAGGGATTCCGCCCGCCGCTGATTGGCCGGCGGCCGCCTATAAAAGGCGGGGCAAATGGCTGCGGAGGCTCAGTTGGGAGGCGGGCGGCGGCGGCGCTGGTGGCAGGAGGGGATGGGGGAGGGAAGGGGGTGATAAGGAGGGAGGGGGGAGGATGAGGAGGGGGCCGCTGTGGGAGGGGGCGGGAGGGGAGGTGGGGGGGAGAAGAGGAAGAAAAAGAAGAGGGGAGGCCGCGGCTCTTTGTCTGCCCCGGCGCAAAATGGCTGCGGCTCCCCCCGCCGCTCCCGGCTCCGAAGGGCGCCCCGCACCTGTGCTGGAGGCGTGTGACGGGAGGGGGGGGGGGGAGAAGGGATGGACAGACGGGCGGATGGACAGGCAGACAGACGGCTCCGGGTTGGGGGGCAGCACGCTGAGGTGTGTGTGTGTGGGGGGGTGATGGGCCCGGCTCCCCCCCCCCGGGTTTTCCCTTCTGGGGCCTTGCTGCGGGGACAGCTCCGCGCCCATGGGATGTGGGGGGGTGAGGGGGGGGCCGCACTTTGACCCCGTTGTGCAAGCGCCATCAAGGAAGTCAATAAATAGGGTCGGGGTGGAAAAAAATAGGACCTGGCTTCTCGCTAACGCTCTCTCCAGCCAGGTGCTGCTTTCCAAAGGCGGCTGAGGCGTTGGAGCGAAATGAGCGGGAAGAGAGAGCACGGGTAAGTTCTGGGAGGTAGCGAGCCTGAAGCAGGGCCTCGTGTGCCAGTGTTATCAGGGGCCAGGGTTATAAAATCAGCTCTGCTCTTGTGTGCTGGGAATGGATGGCATTAAAGGCTGGAATTGTGTTGCAGGGATCGACTCAGCACCTGCTAATGCCCTGCCCAGACTTCACCGGCCTGCTGGCTGTGACAGCAGGGCTGCAGCGGTGGAGACTGGTAAGAGTAAGTGCTCTGAGCTCCCTGAGACTGGATTGCTGTAAATAGGTCAGGGATGAGAGGATTCTCTGCTTAGGGTGGCCCAAAGATGGGTGCCAGTGCTTTCTGAATGACAGTTTGTGGTGATCACTTAACTCCTAGTGCTGTGACATGGAACAAATTGCCCTGCTCACCAGTTGGCCCAGTAAGCGATGGGAACAGTCCTGAAGTAGTTCCATATCCTACCCTGCTCCCAAACACATAAATATGTCTACAGGAGATGTTTGCTAAAAGGTCACTCAAGAAACAGTAAAAACTGATAGCTATTCCTTAATAAGGTGAGTAAGTATCTTTAAATCAAGTTTTAGCCCTTACCATAAACTATTTCAATAACTGTTGTGGTTTCTCACATCTCCCTCTCACCTGCACAAAGCGGCTGCTGAATTAAAATTACGATGCTGAGCATTTCCTACAGCTCTGAGCCCTTTACAAGATGTCACTAGAAGGGACTGCATAGCTCCTCTGAGAAGCTTTAAATTAGGGTTTTATAATCCTTTATCCTTGTTCTCACATATTTTATACTTAGTAGTTTTTTTTTTGTCTTCATACTTTTTCTCAATCATCACTCAAAACTCAGGGAGAAAAAGAAGATACCCCTTCCCTCTCCACAGCTTTTACCTTCAATTTTATCTGTTTTTTTTGCCAAATTGTAATGCTGCTAAGTAGTTGCCCACTTCTTGCAAGGCAGGAATGCTACTTCAGGCAGAGTCACGTCTACCAGTTTGTTGCTGCCACAGTCAAGCACACTGCCAGTTTTAGCTGTGATGAAATTCTATAAGCAACATACCAAAGAACTATCTAGAATAGAAGTCTCTTTGCATTCCCCAAACAGTGGAAGAATTAATCTACATCAGCTGCTCAAATGATTTATGGGGGAGAGCTAGGCTTAAGCTGAAGCAGCCTGAAGGTGCAGAGTAGCTGCACATCCTTCTTTTGCAGCACCTAAATGGGTGTATAGCCCAAAGCTGGGCTGGTACGAGTGATGGAGGAACAGAGTGAGCGACATGAGAGATGGATTAAATTATCCCATGGCAGCAGTAGTCAACACGAAGGGTTAGAGCAGCCTATGTTCTTCTACTGCTCGTATTTTAGGGCAGCTGGAATGCAGCTTACAGTTGTATTACAGAACTAGAAATAAAAACCTAGAAATCATCAGTCTTTGTTCTAGCACTCTCGTTAGTAGACCATATGGCACATTTACCATATTAGGTAAACAACTTTACCAAATTACAAGAGCAACTGAAATGCATTATGACTTGTGTGTTGTAAGTGTGTAAGATTTATTACTGGATAATTTATCTTCTTGCACTCTGCCTTTCATTTGCTATTGGAAGTAACTTTTTAGATGGGATTCTTCAGGCCCAGGATTCCAGCTCCTCTGTATTGTACTGCCCCCTTCTTACTCTAAAAGTTTCTCTAATGTTCCTCAAATCTGATTTCTGTAATTACCTCAAACCTGAATCAGAACATTTCAAGAAGTGGTTGGAGCCAATGGAGAATAATTTGTTGGTAGCAGGTAACACAGAGGGACACTTAATGTTCATCATTCTGACATTTTTGTACAGTTTTCATGGAATTAAGACCTAATTTCAAAATAAATGGTTGCTTTACTTCAGAGTGTTTGTTTTATGAAAGCAACTGTGTTTCACCTAGCGTGTCTGGAGGAGAATACTTTGTCCCATTGATGTCCACACCCTGGTTTCATGGTGCTCTGGGCTTGTTACAAAACTGAAGTTCTACTGCAGAAACACTTTCTTTCCGTGCTTGCATCTGCGTGTGCATTTCCAAATTGGAGGAGCACAGGAGGCTAATGGACAATTGCAGAAGTACACAGTGTCAAGAGAAAGAGACAAAATAAGGGAGCTCTGGCTGAGGATGATGCAGACCTATGCAGAAACAGTTTGTCAACTTGAGAGTCTGCATGCTGATCCTTCTGCAAAGGAGCGTCAGTCTGCACCTACAAGCGTTCAGCTAAAGCAGCAAGGCTTCATGTGCATCTGGAATAGAAAAGTTTGACAGTAACCGGTACAAAAAGTAGTCCCCTTTTGAACGTTTTACTTTGAATTGAGGGGCAAGTGCAGTCTTACTACACCCAAGCACATGCAGATAAATAAAATAACTTTAGTGCCTCCTTGTAGTTTGTACTTTGCTGTCTCCTTCTTGGAAACTCAAGGTACTGTTGAAGTCTTGGTAGTCTTAAAATCACAGCATATATTTCAGCTGTCACTTGGTGGATCTCTAAGTCTAATGTTCCTAATAGTCAGGGATTGGAAAAGGTATACCAAAATCATCTATTTGTTTGGGTTTCCATCTACTATTATGTAGATGTAACTTCAGAAGTGGTGAAGAAAAACTTTTTTCCTTAGAAGATGCTAGTAAGATCTATAGTGACATATGCTTGAATAAAAATGTGACAACTTCATGGATTTCCTCCTTTAAAAAAAAAATATTTAACTGTACCTGGTTATTGGGAAATACATAAAAACAATATCTTAGAGAAATACTAATGAACTAGATTAAAAAAAAAATATATATAAGCCGAGCATGCAACTGCCTTGTGAATCTTTTCTAGTTTTTAAAGGACAGTTTGTGGAGTGTGTCCCTGCACATGCAATTCATGTGGGAGTTACTTAAGTATGGCTATACCAAAGTCCATGCAGCCCAACATCCTGTGCCCAAAAGAGGATGCCCAGAGAATATACTGTGGGATAAAGGATCATTGTTTAAAGGCCTTCAAGGCTTTCTAGTATAAAAGAGTTGTGGAATACTGGTTTTCCTTCCCAACTGCTATTAATCTAACTTGTCATGCTCGCTACTGCGTGCCAAGATAGGAAGCATCAAAATCCAGACTCATCTACAAGGGGAGAATTAGGAAATTTACTAAGAAAAAGGAGCACTTGTACAAGATGTAAGTTTCCAACTATGCACTCAGCAGCAAGCAGATTCTTTTAAAGCAAATCTGAATGGAGACTACTAGCAAATGTCCAGAATAATGTTTATAGAAGAGACAAGAAGCAGCCACGTCAATAAAGATTTATGTTTTATCTGTTATATATATAAAAAAAAAAAAAAAAAAAAAAAAAAAAACTTGTGCAAATCGACATGATTCAGGGAAGAAAAACTATTGTTAAAGGATGAATGGTCCTTCTTGGTCATGACAGCTAGTTTCAATAATTTTCTATTTTGAATTTAGCAAATGATTAGAACTGACTGGGCAAAATGAAAATGCTTTCCTCTCTAAGTAAATTAAAGTAAGTTTTGGAAACTTCAATCCCTCCTTCCATGCAATATTCTGACAGAATATGTCAAGAAATTGTGCCTAGTGATTTGTCTCATTACTGCAAATCCAATTTGTACATTTTACGGTCTGGACCTGTTAGAATATGTCTGAAATACTTGTTTTTAGTGTGAGGTGGTCTTGGCAGTTTCAGTTTCAATCGGTATTCTTTGTGAGCAAACTGTTACCCTGCCAGGGATATTTGTCAACAATTATCCTCAGAGGTCCTTGGTATAATAATGCAATGGATCTTTCAGTTCTGGACTCTTTTGAGCCCTCTTAGCTCAGAGCTGCTTTGGTTCTTCTCTGACTTTCCCCAGTCCTCACCATTTACTTTTTGAGCAGCGCAGATCACTGGTCCTCTTCCTCCTTTACAGCTCCATTAGGCTTCAATTTTCCACCTCCCAGCATCGCAAAACCAATAGGTAAATCAGTTGTTGCCTCCAGACACCAGCTTGGTAGCCCAATAAGGTCAGAAGGCAGCTTCTGTCCTGTTTACTGTTCTTCCCAGTGCCAGTAGCTTTGCCAGAGGTATTTTGTCTGTTAACAGGCCTATGTGCTACCTCCCATCTTACTCTAGCCCATCTGGAAAGCACGTGCACTATCATCAGCCCTATCTCCTGCTAAGGGTCGTGGTTAACCAGAATAGTTCCCATGCCAGGAACCAACCCTCATCCTAAAGTGACTGGGAGAGCAAAGAGCTCCTGGAATTCAGATTTCCCTCACAAGGGCCAGTCGCTTTTGACTTACATAACTTTGAGAACAAAACTATTCTAAGAAAATAAGCTGAATTCAACAGGCCCCCAAACACTCTTTAAAAAAACGGCAGGTAAAGGTATAACTTCTTCCTTACCTCCCCAGCCTCTGCTGTGCTAGCAACTGGACAAACTGGCTTGCATTTCCAAAGGCCACAGCCTCACCTTTCTAGGTTGGATCATCACTAGAACCCTGCAGAAAAACAAAAACAAAAACCTGTCTTCTCTAAGGTTTTCTTTATTCCCTGGTCTCCATGAATTCTCTTGGGATGCAACGTTTTCCTGCCACTTTTACATACGACATACAGCAGGCTCTATGAAATTTGCACTCTTAAAACAGAGCTCCCTAGAGAACTGAAAGCTGCTTCAGCTTTTCCCAGTCAATACAATGATATGGCATTCTTAGGTTATTGCCTTTTTGCCCTCTCAAAAAGAGTTTGTACCAGACCCTTGTTTAACAATTGGCCGGTTATGGCAAGCAGATTTATCCCCTTGCTTCACATGCTGCCCTCCATTCACTCATCTTCAAAAATAAGTAATAAAATGGATCATAAATGGAATAACTGAAGATAAATCTTCACATTGTTTGCTTCTGGTCAGTGCCAAGAACAGGTACAGTTAATGTCACGCCAGTTGTGAAACAGCAGTTGCTGTAGATGAAAACATTTGTCCCATGGAATTTGATAGGCATTTGTTTTATCACAATGCCTAGAGACCATAAGTTACAGGAACAGAGCTAGAAGCATTCTTCGTCCCTCTGCCCTTATCTAAATCATTCAATAGCCCCCCAGTACCTCTCTTTTAAATAGAGTTCTTTCAAAGGAGGGCCGTGTGCCTGAATATGCACATTGGAGCTCAACAAGAAAAAACATCAAATGGAAACAGCAGGCCAAAGAGGTGGTAAAATTTTCAGTGTACATACAGTGCATAGGTTGAGATCCAGATTCTTGTAGATTTTAATTGGAAAAATAATCACATGTACAAGCTTTTCTGAAAGTCGTCTTCGGATGACAGAAATGGCTAAGTCGTTTTCCTTACTCCATCTCTAGTCCGTAGTCTGCCAAATGCTGTTACCAAGCAGTATGAGACGATAGGATTCCTCAGAGCAACCCAACTAATTTTAGTGACAGTATAAAGAAAACAGACACGAAAGACACTGAACTGGAAAGCCAGTGGAGACAGAAGAGGTATGGAAACATCATCACGTAAAGAAAAAAAAAAAAAGTGCAAGAAATGTAGTAAAGGAGGTTTGTTTTGGTTATGATGAAATGAGATTGTATCTAAACATTTTGTGGATTTGGAATGCAAAAAGTATGTAAGCAAGATTTTGCCAAGGTTTTTTTATTCTTACTTTCTAGTGAACTCTCTGTATTAACTGATTAAAATAAATCATGCTGTATCTTCTGTTCTGAGCTGCCTCAAGCTTTATGAAAGCACAGCACGAAAGGCTATTATATAGTGTTTTCTTCTGAATTCTCCAGCAGTCCTAAAATAGTTAGGGATATTACTCCAGCCTATAGGTTACTTTCTTACACTACCTAAAATATATCCTCACTGTCAGAGTTCAAGGACTGGCCCCTATTCCTCTAATGAGCTTTTGCTCATTTTTGAAGCTCCAAACAAATCCAATAACTCAATTAAATATGGGATGAGTTCCCACAGTTGAGAGAAGGAACTAGTACAACTTTTGAAACAAGTCAGACAGATATTTTCTCTCAAAATACGAGATGGGGAAAACTGCCAACCCAAAGGAAATGACACCCCAGATGGAGGGCCAAGTTTTTTATGTCAAGTTATTCTTTATTGTCATTTTTTTTTCTGCATGGGGTTACTTGCAATACTCTTTCATTACTGCAGAGTTATATATAGTGAGTCATTGTTACTTAGGTTTCTAGCTAGGACAGCAAACCCATCCATCTGTGTGAGCTAACCAATTATTAACAACTGGACAAAATGCCAAGCAAGAAACACCACACCTTGGTTAAAGAAAATGATTACTTTGGGAAGCAACAATTTGTACGTTCTTCTGGAAGAAAATGAAGTTGTTTTTCCAAAACTGCAAACCTTGTTTCTCTTAATTATTTTCAGCAGAGCAGAAGAGGGAGCTAGTTTTGCTGCTCTGTACAGTTTAGTGGGCCAGTAAGTTCACTCACTCATTGCTATTCCTTGACATGAAGCCGTCTGTGTAGAATTGTAGGACTTGGCAGCCTGAAGCTGTCTCTGCTACACCCTTGTCCCCAGCAAGAACTCATCAAACTTAACTTCCTTGTGACCCTAAAAGCTATGTCAAGTTGCACACTGGAACAAGTGCTGGTGTGATCACTTTACAGAACAAAAACGCGGTTTAAAATTGTACTAATAAACCCCCTGCCATGCCTCAAGTGATAGAGAAATGAGGTACGAAATACAAATAATGCAAAAGCTTTGGAACAGCAAAGGTCAAAAGTTCCAGGTGTATGTGGAAAATGTGCACACAAATACCGCAGTGAGGAGAACTGACCAACCGGAGTGCCGCTGCCGTCTTAAGTGAAGTCTGATTTATAGTTTAGCTTCTAAAAGACGAAGGAGATTAAATGCCAGTTTATTGTCATACAAAAATAAATTACTTTCTGAAGCTGCTCTAAAATCCTATTGCTATGATTTAGCCTTACCAGTCTTGGGATCTTTAACTAAAAACATCAATTAAAACCTATAAACTTTAAACTCGAAAGCCTGTTAGTCTTCCTTTAAGGAGTCAAATAACAAACATAAAGGAAGAACACTCTAGCAGATGAAACAACAAATAATAACTCACGTCCTCAAAGACGTTTCTGCAACATGCCTTTTAAAACCAGTCAAAGAACAATTTGAGCTATGAAAACTGCAGCAGATGTTACGCAGGGAAAGAACAGCATCCAGCCGAGGCTAGGTAAAGCGATACATTACCTAGCTGCAGAGAGAGAAGCTGAATCTACCAGTTGTTTGCAAAGCACGCACGGAGAGGGAGATTCATTTCTGTGCCTCCAGAACAGAATCCACTGTAGACAGTTGATGCTAAAGAGGTCCCTGAACTAAAACATCAAATAAAGGAGCTCTTTCCTCTCTGTTTTCTCAGCCCAATGTTGAGGATATACAGAGGCTTGCAGTTCACTTCAGCACACCGCTACCCAAGAAAAAAAAAAAACAGCCAATGCAGCAAAACAAACAGTCAGAGCTTTTTCCTAATGGAACTTCATATTTTAGGCTATGTTCAGTGCTCCCCAGTGTCCCAGATAGACAGCTATCTCTCTTTATGTCCTAATTATTTCTAAACTTAGGTCTGAATCTTCTTACTCATCTGAATGGAAGATAGATGCCTAAACACCTTTTTTAGAATCTAGGTCTGGCTTGTGAGACTTCATCCTTCAGTTTTTGTGAACAATTTGCAAACTTCAGCTTCATCAACCTTTTTTTTTTTTTTTTTTTTTTTTTTTATCCCCTATGTTATCCATTTCCCCAGCTTCATGAAAGGATCTCGTAAAATTATCTCCAGCTCCCAAACCCATGAATAAATCACCACCCGGTAACCCAGGATAACTTCACCTTGCCATCTTTGATTCAGAAAATGTGCACCTCAATATAAAAGGGGTTTGCACATCTCTAGCTCTCCCCCTCCGCATGCTTCGATGATGAGATGAATCACAGGAGTGGACAGGATCTGGGGTTATGTTCTTGGTCTTATGTCTAGTGCCGCAGGTGTTTTTTTAGCCTCAGTTTCACAGCTTGTAAAGTAGGCACTGTAGGGTAGTGAGGTGAGTGCGAAAAAAGTCTGGAATAGCAGTTTGTGTTCATTCTAATAAAAGGTGCTATACGTGTCAGAGATATTTCAGTTTTATTAAAATAAGTAAACGTTCCCTCCTTACGCTGTCGCATCAAAAGCATCGCATTGACTTCTAACTTCTATAGGGTCAGGTAATGAAACATAACTTCTACAAGGAGGCCCTGTGCATTTGTGAGGTAGAAGCAGCAAGGACTGGGCAGGTGAGAGAGGCACTGCTGACTTACCCCATAAACGTATGTGAAGATATCAAGCTCCTCTAAAAAAACATGAAAGTATAGAGGCAGCCTGGGAGCATTACACAAAAAGAATAAATCCTCCAGCAGTTTTTTTTTTCTTTTTTTTTTTTTTTTTGTCATTTTACCGTTGCCTTTCACAAATAGAAATGAAAGTGTCATTTTGCTGTATAGCAAAGAACTGTCTTTCCCCGCAGAAAATGATTG